CATATGCGTTTACCACGTGTTCACGGAGGCCCAGAGCTCTCGCTCGTTTGGCACTTGGCGTGCGACGAAACTTCAACTTCAACCCGTCAGCCTAGGCATTCAAAAATGGCTTATTGTGGACAGTCAGAGGACGTAAAGATGAGAAATTCACGCATTTGAATGAAATCGATTGCTTGAATTGGGCCAGGATATTTATTTTTCTAGGACTGATGGGGGGGTGATGGGAAGGCAACTCTCTGCAAGTTGGCGTTGACAGCATAACCTCGCTGACAAGCCGTGAGTCCTGAGCGATGCCTTTTTTTCTATCTTAAATGTGACACATGTGATGGGCCAGGTGGTCGTAGTTGTGCAAATCCATAATAGGATTACTACTCAATGTCGCTTCCCTTGGAGCTTGGCAGCGATGGATGTCAATCGGTGTACCCTTGCCCGACATATATTCCCCAGAAACAGCCACCGATCATGCTCGAGAAAGGTGTCTTTGAGGAGGTTTCTCTTCTTTACTAGGTGGCGATAAGTTATGTGAAATACAGGGCAGGGAATTTTAGGTGCGGTATGAATCCTCCATTCTTCATCGTTTCTTAACCACGAAAATGTTACAAGAAGCCTAATATACAAAAAGGACTTGTTAATGCCTCTTTTTTCTATTTTTTCCCACCTCTTCATTTGCGTTGCATGCCTCTCATTTCAAATATCGGAAAGATATTGAAATAGGCCTAGAGCTCAGAGCAATCACCAATAAAAGTATGTGCCATATTGCTAACGTGATTAGAGATAGGATTCTCTCGCTCCTTCTATTTTTTCTACCAGTAAACAATGAAGGGGTCATTGATCAGGCAGTTTCCATATCCTTTGACCCTACACCGCTTTTTGCTCTTATCTCGTCGTAGATAAGGAGATGGTAGGGGCCGCACACCATCCTTGCCTCACCCCGACATTCCTCCAGAAACCTACCCCCTCCACTTGCTTCTCCACCCTTTTCTCCTCCCTCAATCCTCCAAGGGCCGGGCTCGCTCGTCGCATCCGCCTTTTTGCCACGCCCCTCCTCTCTCTCGGCCACCTCCGTGAGCCCAAGACCACCCCAGACATACAAGGAGTCACGCTTCTTGGGCGCTGTCCTCGCTATTTCTGGTGACGGCATTCCAGAATGAAGGGCGGTCGCAGGAGGAGGGGAAGAAATACACAGAGCAGCGGTGTAGGAAGTTCCCGCCCCAATTTGCGCCACGCTCACGTCTTCTTCTTCCTCTTCCACCCTCTCTTCCTCCTCCTCCTTGGCCCGCCTCTTTCTGGACAGCGGCAGGCGGCGTGGAACGGGAACCGTACCTCCCCCTCCTCCCCCTCTTCCTCCTCCTTCTCCTACCCGTCTCCCGCCAAGTTGCCCGTGCTTGTCCCAGCCCCATCCATACACATCACCCGCAACGGAGAGGGCCGCGCTGTGCCATGCCCCCGCGGCCACGGCTCTTATCCCGTGCACGTAACGCCCGTCTAAGCAGGGTGAGGGAAAAAAGGGAACATGAGCAGGAAGGGAAGGAAAAAAGGAGAAAGGGCTCCTCCTCGCTTCTCCCCTCCTTCCTTCGTTTCGCGTTCCCGCCTGCCCATGGTCATCCCTTACCCTTTCTTCTCCTCCTCCTGAACCTCCTTCCTTATCCCGCCTGGTCCATTCGCCCACATCCCACCCCTCTTTCCCTCCCTTCCTCCCTCCCTCCCTCCCACCTACCCGCCCGCAATTCCCCTAAGCCTTCCAAAGCCTCGACCAGACGAGGCCTCCCTTCGCTCTTCATCTCTCCGTGACCTAGGGCGTGGTACAAACCACTGCCCCAACTGTACACTTGTCCCCCTCTCTCAGGAGACGGATGGAGGGAGGAAGGGGGGGAGGGAGGGCCCCCGGCGGTAAGGAGGAGGCTGTGCCGTTTCCCCACGGCGACTTGACGGATCCGAAGGGAACGAGGTGGGGAGGAGGATGGAGGGGATGAAGGGGAGGGAACGGAGGAGGATGACGCAGGGGGGGGCCAGTCGAGGAGCAGGGGTCTAGGGCGGAAGGAGGGAGGAAGGGGTTGGAGGGAGAGGAGGGA